TCGCAACAAACAAAACCAACGACGTTAATTCCTCTCACGCCTATCGCGCCCTCTATAATCCCTATCGCGCCCTCTATAATCCCTATCGCGCCCTCTATAATCCCTATCGCGCCCTCTATAATCCCTATCACGCCCTCTATAATCCCTATCGCGATCTCTATGATGCCTATCGCGATCTCTATGATGCCTATCGTGCTCCACTACTTCACGTATTATTTTCCGTCCGTGAAAAAAAAAAGGAAAAAAAAGAGAGAACTTTTTGTTTAGAAGATTGGCAACATTAATAAAAGTTTCTTAAAAGGTATACCGTACCATTAGCCGTGGGACTATCATCTAGCATAGGAAAAAATTCCACCCTCGGAGAGACAGTGTCTCCACTTATGCTCGAAATTTCATGAGAACTTTCTTCGAAAGAGGGTTGAAGCGGAAGTGAATTGATTAGAGAGAATAATGCGAAGAAGGATAAGGCGAAGAGGATCTCTGAACGCATTTTCACTTGAGGCTATTGTGCTTGAAAGAATGGAGAAAGTTGGATGCGTTTTATAATGTCCTCAGGATTGAATCAAGAAATCTATCAACATTGAGTGACATACTTTTTGCTTTGACAAGAAGCTTTTTCTGCATTGTAACTTTTGATGATATTAACTATATCTTTACGAGCTTTGCAAATAACTCGTGTGAAATTATCTTGTACGGAAGATACGTTGTTTGAAATGTTGATTGATTCATACAAAATCCCACGTGTTTTGATTTAATTTTTTTCATTTTTCATTTTAAATAATTGTGATAAAATGATCAAGCAGTAATGAAGACTTTTACCATGTAGTTTAGTCGTACTTGATCTTATTTACAAATACATGACTGAGGAGCTAAATTTTAAATTCTTTGCCTATAACCACACGCACATGGATAAAAGTTTATACTATCAACACTATCGTTATTACATAAGATATTGTTTCCACACATATTGTTTGTTTCCACTTTACGTTTACGTATAGCATGATTCCACTTTACACTTACGTACTGTACTGTTATGTAATTATTCAGTGAAACTAACACACGTTTTTTTTTTTTAATCTGATAAATCTCCACAATCCCTGCATGTGTAACATATACTCCACAATCCCAATAAGATGCATCATGTTTTTCTTCCAATCTCCCTGTTCTTAAGTTGAAATGCAATCGTATACTTTGGAACTATTTCCAAGTTATGGTCCTGTTCACATATTTTTGTTTTGCAACGTGAGGAATTCAATGGATTTACGAAAACGATTGCTTTCTCATGATCAAGAATTGGCATATGCCTTCATTGATGCTCGAGTGGTATGGTATCTAAAGTTCTTTCACATACGCGATGAATCCCTCGTTCGGTAATGAGGTGAACATGGGAAGATAGAATTCCTAGCGAGAACGAAAACATACGATATATCTTTTTTTTAGTTTAACCTTAATACTAACATTTTTCAAGTTAATATAAAACAAAAAACTTTTTAAAAAGATTTATTTCATAGAGGAAAAAATATATAGCAATCATCACATCATAAATAAATAAACAAATAAGCTTTTAACATTGTGCGTCCTCTTGTATAGGTACTGGACACATTTCAATTATTAATTGCCACCAACGGCGCTTTGCATAATGATAGAAATTCAGCATTGAGAACTCACAATGTGCACTCGGAAATTGTTTACAATCTTTCACCCACCCCAAATGTAAGTTTCCTTTATCAAATCATCGAGTTGCTAATGGGCAACTGAGATCAAAGGACAAATATATAACTTGGAGAGCATATATATAGATCAGTGAATCGCTGAGGAGATTCGGAATTTCAAATAACACCAAAGACATTGTGGTGATTAAAGTTGGTGGCGAATTCAATGAGGTACACGCACTTTTCTTAAGTATATGCAAATTCCATTTATAGATTTATTTAATGATTGTTGTGTATGCATACTTTTTTTTTTTTTGAAATATCACATTTCTTTCCAAGATTAAATCGCACCTGAATTCATTGATTCAAGGTACCGAATCTTCACTGGAAGAATTTCAAAAATCTGTGGACATTGAAAGTGTCAGAAAGGTGAGTTGGAATGATAATGAGATTAATGGATCAATTGAACTTATTTGAGATAATCCAATTTTAAATGGAACAACAGTATTACAAGATTGATTCCAAAATCAAAGATCATGGTGAAATGTTGAACACTATTGTCGGATCTATAGCTATCAAGAGTGTTAATTAGATGGTAAAGGAATCGTCAGAGAATGAATCAAAGGATTTAACCTTATTTAAAAATCATTCGAATACTACTACTGTTGACACAAATTTTATTGCTAAAGTACATACTGGAAAATAAAAACAAAGTAAAATAGAAAATAGAAAGAGCAAAGATTATTATTGCAATCTGATACATTAAAAAAAAATTATTTTTTTTTTAAACTGTTCGCAAGTTATATTATTACATTTTATCCGTCGAAATAAATAAACCAATCAATAATCACGGGAAATTTGTCACTCTCATGATCCAAAGTTTACATATTATTCGGCTTTTCTCTTACCATTATCGTTATCTTCTGCATTTTTTGAATTATCGCTTTCTAGACTAATCTCCAGCGCCACAAAGTTTCTGGTCATCAAATTGAACATACTGCCGAAAAACAATGCAATGACAGTGCAAGTCAATGTGATAACGTTATATGGCATACTGAAGTCGGGCGTGGGCAAGCTGACCAAAAGCGTTTCGGTGTATATTCTAATTGGGAAATGCAGACATCCCGCAATCCCTGATACGTTACCGTTAACGATACACTCCCTTTTGCAAGATTTTCATACCATACGTGAGAAAATTGAGATATGAGATATGTTGGCTAATCACAATGCTTATTTACCTAACATTCGCATAATCCCGCTCATCCCAATCACGAATCTTTCGTGATATCACCGCAGATCCAATGTCAAATCCTCGATTGGCGTCCGGTGGGTATTCAGTGTATTTCAGAAAGACTTTATCAAAATTAATCGATAGCGACGTCAAGGAATTGGGTGGTAACAATATCTCAGCTTCAATTACATGTGGCCTGGAACGATCTACCGCCGGTTGATAAAATAAGTCTTTGATCGGGTGCTCTAATTCACATACAGTACGTTATTCATTCATTTACTCACGTATATTCACACATTGAGATCATTGGGATCCCGAAATAATTTTGTCGAGTAAATCTAAATTACCTATATCTGAATTTACATCCTTCCCATTAACCTGAACTTTGAGCGTGTGCAGGTACAGCTTCAAATACCACGGGATAACGTCGTAATATATAATGGGAATTGAGACGTTTGGACTTTCATTAAAAATGTTCACTTTTATTCCACCCCTCTCTTGACCGTAACCTATTGAATGAATGTGAATGGATACGTATGAGGAACTCTCGGTTCTTTCTTAAACATTGCGTGACGTCAACTTGCCTGTAAAATAACGATGGGCAAATACAAGAGGTTTTGCGGGAATAAAGTCTAGAAAAAAAAAAAAAACAATGAAAAACTGGACGATTGGAAATGAATGTCGTTAAAAGAGCTCATAGCATTGTGCAACAGGTAATACCGTAATTAAATTGTTCTTCGTTCCATGTCATTGAAAACTCCGTATTCGGTTGTACTAAAAAAAATGGCCATTTTGAATACAACTTTAAATGACAGGATTTGACCAAATAACTATGGCCAGCACATTCTACCTTTCTTCAAATCATATACTGCAATCTTCTCGTTCGTGTCACCAGTGCTCTCGGTGGAACCCGTGATGACATTCGCGTCAGGACTTATTCTATAACCATCATCTTCAGGTAGTATTATTTCAAGTTTACTCTCACTGGCCAAAGGACATGCTTGTATGATCTTGCGATCAAAGACTTCGCTCAACGACCAATCTTGATGAGGAAGGAAATTTAAAAATAAATGTTTGAAATAATTCAACACTTGATAAAACAGATTTGTCGCAGACCTCTCTTTCCCAATTTCCTGACGGGATTAACTACCGTCGATACAGTTTGTAACACCTCTAACTGCTGACTTGTACATTCGGAGTCCTGGAGTATGAAAGGTGTGAAATTTATATAGATATATAAAGTGTATGATTACGACTTGATAAGAATCCCCCAAGGGTTTATGCCATCACATCAATACCTCACATAATGGTCGAACATGAATGGACATGGAATGAAAATTTGAATTGTACAATTTGTGTCCATTCAAAAGAGACGCAATGCCGGACTTTTGCCAAGAAGAAACGCGTTATTGACTTCACGATTATCAAAAAACATGTGAGAGCAAAGGTTAGGCTTCCGTGCCTTACCGTGGCCTTGCAGGGCAAGAGCTTGATCCAAGGAGTCAAATTTTCGGTACAAACATTTTCGTGAGGTAAAGATCCGTATCTCAATTCAGCGCGCTCGAACAATTCTGAAGCTACGAAAGGAATGTTATCAAGATTTATTTTCCGACGAAAGAAACTTTCGCATATAAGCACCCAAGCAAATATAAGATCAAACCGTTGTAAGACCCTTCTGGTCGAAATGATAACTTTGGTTGAACGGTGACCGTGTCATCAATAAAGTTTAAGGAGGCGCAGAAAAGGCCGGCAAGGGCATTCGTCAGTGATCTCCAGTTTTCGTCCAACCTAACAGATAACAAACATATGAATGAATGAAATGTTGACACTTTGTCGAAAAGAAAGTAAGGTTACCCAATGGAATTAATCATTCACCCACTTTCCGTCGTTCCAAAGCCATGCCCATAGTTCAACTCCCGTTCCTGCCGACGGTACTACCGGGTATCCCCAATCCTCGTAATTCCATCGACCTTGGGTAAATGTTAGGTGCAATTCTCGAGCATTGTAACTCTGTATGATTTGCCCGATTGTCCTTGGAAAAAAATTATAATGCTTTACTAAAAAATATAAAATGATATCAATTGATGGTTATGAAGAGATGAAGGAATTTCGATGAATTCTTACGTACACACAGTCCCTTCCCTACCCCTCGCAAGTCTTACACTGAACTGAAAGTGTGTCAACAATTTTCCGTCTGCGAGAGGTCTAATAGTTAACGCCTCTTTAAACTCTTCATAAGGTTTGGTTATTTCGGCGTACACAAGCGTTAGCGACAACACCGCCAAAATTAGATTAAAAAGCAAACGGCCGCTCTTCCAAGTTAGCCGCATCGAAGGTTTCACCATTGAGTTTTTACTATAATGAGAAGATTTACGATGAGCAAGCACAGTAGATCAAATTCTGGCGGAATTTAAACTTTGCCAGCAAAATTACGTAACCGATCGAGATAATCCTCAAATACGCACTCCAACTCTCGAAAGATACAAAGGTGGCAATGATCAAGCTATCGGTGTGAACCGTCGGGCGAGCACCACAGGGACGGTGTAAACCGCATTTCGATTTTCTTGCCAGGATGAGCTTGTTAAAGGTGTTAAATACGTACGCTCGCAGGGTGACACCTGCGATCGTGTTTACTCGACATGCAGGAACAAAGAACTCTCTTGCAACTCCACCTCTCATGAACATGGTAGACATGCGTTTCATGAGATTGAAGTGGCATGGAAACCTTATTAAAGGGCGATGGTCACAGCGTGTTGTTTTTCGTTGCTCGAATAATAATGTTCAAACGGAATTCTGTCGAAATCACAGTTCAAAGATAAACCCAGAGTCTGAGAGGGAAAAAAGCGGTGACGAACGAGAACAAGGCAAGGTGAACAGAGTGAGAATGATGGTGCCCTCGAAAGAAAAACCGTTGAGCCCTGAGATCAGAAAAACTTCCAAGTTACTTGGTCAATTTTATAGTTCACTGGCACAGCGTGATCTATCGGGCACCTGGAAGGCATACAATGAGCTCGTTCGAGGATCCGGACTTCGATACCTTAATCGAAACGACTACAGACAGATGATTGAACTTGTCACGCAGAGTGTATTAAACAGATCCGAGAACCTTCACCGCCTAGTGACGCTAATTGACGACATGAAGTCGTGTGAATTTTCCATGTCGCGGTATGACTTTCATGCGATCATGTTTTATATGGCACGTTCCAGCCATCGTCTCGGACGAAGGGATGTGGAAAAAACATTGTCGGTATTTTATACAATGAAACAATTGACGAACATGCGGCCTAACATCACGACTTACAACATTATCCTTGATATTGCTATCAAATCTTCTCAATTTGAAATCGTGCTACGATTAATCCACGACATGACTCAACAAGGCTTGAAACCTGGGGTAAAAATATTCACCTCGCTCATTCACCAATTTGCGACGAAACATGAATTGGTCAAGTTAACGAAAACGCTCGATTCGATGTCGAAACTTGGAATTAACCCGGACTCTCACGTTTGGAACACGGTGATATGGGCTTACGCGAGAACCGGAAACCTAAAACAGGCCATGTCAATATATTTGAAAATGGCTTCTCGGGCGAGACAATTAAAAAAGTCCAAACAAAATGTTGAGTGTACACCCACCCTTCCCACCTATCACACCCTTTTACCAGCCAACATAACACAGGAAGATTGGGAAAGTGTGAGGAACTTGTACGGTGACATGAAATTCTTTGATGTATATCCTACGACCGAAAGTTACAATGTAATTTTTTGTAAGATTGTTTCTGTATTAAAGGGAAATGAAAGGTCGAAGCCAGGAGATCAAGACCGCCTGAGTATCATCAAAGATCTCGTGGATTACATGTTCGAGGACATGAAAAATTGCGGAAAAGTCACGCCCGCTCCAATAACATTTAATTACCTATTGTACTTATATTTGATGTTAGGCGACTCTAAAAAAGCTTCCGAAATACTTCAAGTGATGAGAAACAATAATTGGAAGATTAATAAATTACTTTTTAGTGATTTCACAAATCCACCCCTGTGACCTTTAAAAATAACGAATCCCGGTTGCCAAGGCATTTTTATTTTACACTGTACATAATGATCTGACGAAACCGTTGCAACAAAAATAATATGATCGTGCAACATGTTTCCAAATTTAATATCGCGTTCGAGTGTACATACAGTCAATGTATATACAAATCGATAACCAGATAAGTACCCTTGCAGTAAAAATATTGAGTGCTCGGTGCACACACATGTTGCACAAAACTTCCATTAAAACCGGCTTAAAATCTGGTAATCCAAATTACCTTGTTCCAAAAACGGGATTCAATTCGCTTGCAAGCGTTCGACTGAAATGTTCAAAGCATCAAATCATATCTTACCAGCAAAATGGACGCCGCGACCCATGACAAGAAAATTTATAGCTCGATTCATTAAAATAAAATTTATCAAAGTACTGTTTATGGGTTGCTTTACGTTTTCAGTGATATTTTCGTCCTTGCAACTGGTCAACTATTTTTTTAGTGTAAAAAGCTTAAAGCCGTTAAAGAGGCCATATGGTAAGTAAATAAGCTAAAAAACTTTGACTCCGAACGACACTTCATTTTCTAAAAAGGTTTTCTTTTTTAGAAACGAATCAAATGTCACCACTATCGGAAATGAACAGTAAATTCTGTTTCACAAAGATACACTCGAAAACCTCACGAAAATACAGTGATGCTCTACAACAATTTTATTTTCGCGGCGAATTAACACCGGAAGAAGACGATGTAACTGTCGCCACATTCGTCACTCAAGATGATTACGACGATCTGATCAGGTTAGCCGAAGCATGGCAAGGTAATCTTGATGACTGTCTAACGGCCATGATCACGATGATAATCCTCAATCGTATCATATTTCAAACTTTTCTAGGTCCCATATCGGCCGTCCTGCATGTGTCCACAAAAACCCTAAATGATACACATTCATCCTTCAATGAACTTTATAAGCGAAACCCGTTCCTTAAACGCCACGTCGATATTCATCTGGTGGCAGGACTATTCTCACCGCTTGACTCAACCATAATTTCCAGGCCCACCAATTTTCACATGAATGTTGCACGCCTCTTTGCTCGAACGGATTTTGTACTCTTTCTCGATCAGGACACCTGGCCTTCACCAATGACTCGTTCTTACATTAGACGAAATAAGGAATTGCTTTTAAGAGAAGACGTCATGATCTTGCCTACCTTTGCCCACACAGAAAATGCATCCAATCACGATTTTCCACAAACCTCGGAAGAAATAAAGGAGTTGGTTCAGAGGAAGGCTGTTGGAATGAGAGATCATGGGTGGCCATTGAACGATGGTCCCACGAATTATGAAGATTGGTCCAAAATGGAGATATACAGTATATCGGAATACGACTTAAATTATCAGCCAAATTTTGTAATAAAAAGAGGGAGCAATATTCCTTGGTGATTAATAGTTCAGGTTTTAAATCTGGGGAAATAGTGGGGTCGTTTCGTGCCGGCTTAATTTAATTCCCATGTGTTTTTATAGGTGCACCGAACAATTCGGCGACTTCGATAATAACAAGGCAGCATGCCTGTTGCAAATTTACCTTAACGGTGCAGATTTATGGGTCGTGCCAGATGCATTTTTGATCGAATATCATTACAACAAAAATGACCTCTTAAAATCAGCGGAATCAAAATGGGAGGTTTGTATTGATTAAACCTTTTCGTTTCTCTTTTCTTGTCGCGGTAACGGACTTTTGAATCCATAATTCGTTTTCATAATAGAAAATCATAAAAGATCGCTTATACACCAACTTCTATCGGGCGGCTTGCATGCATTACTCACGAACACTTTCCTCGTTGGGAAAGTGGAATACACCAGAGGCGAACAATGCTAAACAACTGTGTCCAAGGATAATAACAAATTGGGGTTTCGGAATAATTGGCTAATCGAGCATCTTGTACGTGTAAATTTTTTTGAAAAAAACTACTTGTCGTAACGGTGATGGCGATGGTTTTTAATATGATAATTGGATGAATATAACTAAATAAACCGAATAAAGGTAAGCATGTCGTAGGAAGCTGATCTTTGGATCCTTCCGACGCGTCAACTTTATCTCCAATCACACGAGGCCAAAGAAAGAAAGACACGTTATCTTAATAATTTGCCCGTCGGTAGTACCCAGAAACCATACATTAAAAATGCGTGATCTATTTAATTGGTACAAATTAAATCAGGCTTTGTTATTTGATCAGAAAATAATTTTTCGGTTCCAAATATATATTATTCATTAAAAAAGATTCTTTTATAATTTTATTAATAAACTTATACATTAATTGATTTTAACAATAATTTTTATTTATTTTTTTTAAAAAATCAAGTAACTATTAACAAAATTTGAATGATTTCATTATTAGATTATAAAAAACATATGTTTAAAGTTTATATAAATTAAGTAAAAAAATATTAGCCCCAAAATTTTTGTAATAATTATATGTTTTACAAATCTATTTATAAACTATATAATATTTAAAGTGAAAAAAAATTATTATCTAATTAAGTTAATTATTTTAAACTTAAAAGAAATTTTAACCTTTTGAAAAATTGATATGGTAACTAAGTTTGATAAGTCATTTTGTAATATAATATAATATGATTAATAATAAATAACCATCGAGGAGCAATGGATCTTAGCCTCGATTAAACTATTCACCTCTCTAAGTGACACGGGCTTTAGTGTATTCTGGGTCCCCTATTACGAACTCCCTTTCCACTAATTTTTTTTATAGCGTTGTGGACGTAATCAGTGAGTCTGTTGCAAATTCGGGGCCGTCCTTCGGGTTACGTACAATTAAAGGTAAATAATCTAAAGCTTTTTTTTACTCTCGAGGTATTTTCGAGGTTTATACTATATTAACATTTCTATCGACTATTTTATCACCCAATTCCCTTAGGTAAGTTCGGTCCTTTCGCCTAGTCGCGTAGTACGAGTTACAAATATTTGGCACACACGTAAGACTTTATTTTAACTTTAGTGTTTATTTGTTATTAGAATGCGAATGCTAAGTCTTATACATTCTTTTCGCCATTATATTCTATTCTAGAAATTCCAGAAATTTCCACCTAAATTTCCTCGCCATTTGTGACAATAGGATGACGTATCGTTTTACCGCGTTCACACCTGTGCCCCATTTATCTATGCCGCGAAACCTTCTACGGTGTTATTTTCTTTTTATATTAGTATTTAATAGTTTCATTATTCTTTAAAATTGCCGGAAATATATCATATTACGAATTAAAATAAACATAATACGAATTTTAAGAATAAATTATTTTAAGAACTAGTTATCTTTTAAGTAATATAGTCATATGTAATGTCCTAAACATATCAGGAGTTCAAACCGGAAAGTACATTACTGCCTGTGTTTCGGCTCCCATATAAAATGAGATGCATTAACGTACTTGCTCACGCAATACTGTGACATGAATCGCAATAACACTAGTTGTAAATTATCCAGTGCGTCCTTAGAATGTTATTTAATTTCGTTAGAAGTTGCGACTGTAATCATGTGATCGTGTCGCGACTCGCCAGAGTTTATTATAATATAATTAGATCGTATACTTTCTATTGGTAATTGGAACTGTTATGAAAATTTGTAGATAAAACAAGCCATTGATTGTATCAGTGGTGGGAAGAACATAGAATATGACAGTAGACAAAAATGATTGTTTTTATTTTGCTATCCTAATATTATATTATAACATATCACATGAATTCTGAAGGAATGATTTTGAAAAGAATTTGCTTATTTCAATATAAAGAAAAATATATATGAAATTTAATAATTGATAAAATTTTTTTCCAAGTACAACTAAATTTAATTCATGAATACAATAATTTTATGATATGCAGTAATATTATCATAATCTTTTTTTTAAATAAGTAAACACCATTTCTTTAATTATTTATATATTGCAAGATATACATATTGGACAAAAACAATATCTCTAATATGCATTTGTAGTAAATTAAGTATTAGCTTGCTTATACAATCAATATTAAAAAAAAATTTTTTTTAAACATTATTAATATATTAGAAATATCATTGCTTTATTATCAGGGCTCTTAACAATACCACTTTGATACTACTTCAATATTAGTTTGATATTTAAGTTTACTATAAATTCATATGAGTAGAACACAACCCATATATTAAATTTACTATAAATTATTATTGTTATTTTAATATTATTTCAATATCAATTTGATATTTTTTGAAACTCTATTTATTATTTTATAAAAGTTTAAAATTTTTTTTTTTTTTTTTTTTTTTTTTTTTTTAAATCGCAAATAAGCATTAAATGCGAGACTTTTATTAAACGAGAGTTTATAG